ATGGGGAACTGCAGGGTCATAAAGTATCTGCTATATGTTCATCTAAAAAGTTAATGTTGAAAATAATGAGAGTATTTATTAAAAATTACACTGTTGTTAATCAATTAGGCAGCTTTTCCCCCCCTGAAATTTAACATAGAATTGTTACACAATAATGCATGCCACTTTAGGTTTTTAGCCCATTTTAGCTACTTGTTTTGAGGTTTTTATTTTTTCATCTTTCAATGCTGTTCAGTCACATCTCTGTTAACCTGTCAACAGCTCTTTGGAAACAATAGCAGCATCAATCAAATTGAAAGAGACAGAAAAGACACGTTTAATATGGACTTATGTCCAGATGAATGCAGCCACTGTGTACCATTTCAAAGGCTCTGGTTTTACCTTACGATCCTTTAAAAGTGTGTGTCCCAATTCCATTGCAAACTTTTCCAGCCTACCTGGAATCCTGCATTTAGGTCCTCTCTGCAAACCGTAACACTGGAATGGGCTGTATTTGGACAAGAGGGCAGAGCTGATCAGTATTCAGTTGTTTTGGCTATTAAAAAATATATTAAAATTAAAATGAATCTACCAGAGAAACACAAATAGAAGAAATGAGGGGTGAGAAACAGAATGGCAAATATGAGCAACTTATCAAGTACAAGGGCGTTTCACCTTAAAGCAGATCACGTTTTCATGTCTATTTTACTACAAATGGGATGACAGTTCCAAATTTAGATCAAGCATTCAATAAAGATTAAATCACAACATCTGCCACTTTATTAATTACATCTTGGTATACTGGGCTGGAGAGTTTGGTAAAAATTGACATGATAGCATCACACTGTTGCTGCGGGGGTGCCAAATGTGTTCACAAAGGTGCTCTATTAGTTTGAGATTTGAAAACTGTGGAGGACATCTCAGCGCAATTAACTCGTCAGATTTAAGGAACAGAGTTGATTTGAGCTTTGGGACATGGTGCATTCGACTGGAAGCAGCCGACAGAAGGTGGGTAGACTTTGGCCATAAAGGGATGGACATGCTCAATGACAATATTCTGGTAGGCTACGATGTTTAAGTAATGCTCAGTTGGTACTGTGGACGCCAAAGACAATTTTCCCCACACCATTACATCACCACCTGCAGCCTGAACCATTGATACAAGGCAGGAAGGATCCATGGTTTTGTGTTGTTTATACCACCCTGAATTCTCACCCTGCTATCCAAATATTGAAGCAGAAATCAAGGCTCATGAGACCAGACAATGTTTTCCAGTCTTCTGTTGTCTAATTATGCTGAGCCCTTGCAAACCGTAGCCTTAGATTCCCATTCCTAGCTGACAGGAGTGGCATCTGGTTTGATTTTCTGTTGCTGAGCTCAGACATTCTCTTCTGCATACCTTGGTTATCTTCTTTTTCTTTCAGCTGTCCAATGTAGGGATCCCCACAGTTGCTCTAAATGGGTCACTGTGATGATCCACTGACGGTCCCTTTTTTTTCCTTTTTTCTTTTTTCTTTTTTTAACTAATTTTGCATCCCCAAAGACTGCATGTGACTAAAGAAGAATAACCCTGTGCCTAGGTGGAGCTGTTGGGTGAGGTTAAGATAATATTTGAGGGATAATAGTTGTTTTATTTGTTTTCTGCCTCCAAGTTGCCCAAATTACCAGAAATGCAATTAAATTTCCAAAATGTAATGTTAGTTTCATGTTACTCCAGTTTAGTCTAGTGATGTCCTTGCTGAGGATGCCCCTGCCTGAATGACTACAGTGGCAAATGCACTGTGAATTTTATGAAGACTTACATCTGGCAGATCACCTCTCTGTGTGAAGCACCACTTCACATGCTCTTAGGCCAAGTGCACCAGCTGAATAACATCACTGCTCATGGACAGCACACACACACACACACATAAAAACCCCTGCTACCATAATGCTATCAACTTAAGAGTTTTTTTTCTCTAACTTGACTTTTTTGCTCTACAGTCTTGTCATTGTGTGCAGTCCTAAATAATTAAGGTAGACACATTTTAGCATGTAGTAAGGCAGTTGCTTTTTTTGCTCAGATACATTTAACCTGAGCATGAAAGCATTGGCGGGAGTCGTGGCCTGTCTATGAATTAAACATTGTACCATTAAAGACCAGAGGGAGCGTTACCTTGCTATCAGTCGATAACCAGCTGGGTCTGCCTGCACAAGAGTCTCAAAACTTTACAGTCACAAGTAGCACTTTAGTTGCATCATCTTAGCAGCTGTGGTATTTATAACCCACTACCATACATCCTAAGGCTGATTTGAACCATTAGGCATTATGAGCAATCTCAGCACTTCTTCCCCCTGATTAACACACAAGATCAGCACTTTTATACCACACACTAACTTTTGGCATACTTTCTTCTCTCTTTGTTCTCACTGAGACTGCCTGACAGAGTTTGCTGTGGTGGAGGTGTCTGTAGCTTTTCCTGGCAGATCCCAATGATGGCAAGAGATCAGTGAGAGAAGTAAACAAGAGCCCAAACCGGAAAGGTTCTGTCAACACCAAGGTAAAGTGTCAATGGTGCTTTCAAAATGGAAAAGAATAAGTGGGCAAAATAGTAGCAATCAAATATTATGATTCATCCATAGCACTGGCAGCCTTACTTTCTGTATTCAGCCCAAATAGAAGATGATATTTTTTCTGGAAATCATTTGAATAAACATTTGACTGAACCAGAGAATCTGTCAAAGCCCCTGTCACAGATTTTCACTTGAAAAAAGGCAAACTCTCCTTCAAAAACTATTTCATGACTTTAAAATGTATCAGAAATATGTGCTGGATAATGAAGACTGCCCTGTATTTGAACCAGTACTCATTTATTTATTTATGGAATTTTTTTTTGTAAAGATGCCTTTCTTTTGAGGTGTGTGCATCTGTCACCAGGGAATCTTAAGCCTGTATTTGTGTCACTCTGTGCCTCGGAGATAAGCAGGCTGTTGAAAGAGTCGGTGCATCTAGAGTGTCGTGAGGGAAGTCCTCTGGCATATACAGGAAGCATGTAAACTGAGCCTCTGCACAAACAGGAAGTTGGTGATGGATTGCACGTTTTGCTATAGCAGAAAGAGGAAAAGCTCGAGAGTTCTTCAACTGCTTCAGCACATGGACGAGTTATCAGAAAGAAGTTAAGCAATGCAGAGAAAATTGTATTGATGGTTGACTGTAACTGACATTGTTGCCTGCTGGTGTGCTCAACAGCCACAGCACCTATTTTCTCTGAAGAACTAAGATTAAAAATAAAATTATTAATCAGTAGCAAGTAATATTTTATTAACATAATATGGTCCTAAAGAGCATTGCATTTACAAAAAGATGATGACAAGAAAGCATAGTGGAACTTACTTTTTAGAGAATAACTCACTATTCTTAACTAAACTGGAAAAATCCAAAATATCTCCCAAAAGAAAAATGTATTAACTGAAGGCTGTCTAGTTAGCTAGCTAATATATATCACACACTTTTAGCTGGCCAACAGGTTCACTGACAAGTAACCTGAAATTAGAGAAATTATAGCATTTTTTTTTTCTGTATTTCCGAATTACTAATGAATAATATGATGATGTATGGCTTACTCCCACAGTTTATTAATGTTAACCAGGCTTACAAGCATTAGCCAAAATGCTAATGTTGAAGCTTCTACTTCTATATTATCTACTAGTTTTGGGTTAAACCAAGAATCAGGCTAACCACTGCACCAATGTCCAATTGATGTTTTGCAGTTTTTGGTGCTGCACCATCTAATAGCCACCGGTGGTTAGATCACACCAAATGAAGATGACAACTCTAAAGCATAACATGAGAAGCCCATTCTTGCTCTGTAGTATCAACAAAGTAAAAAAAAAAATGATGGAAAAAATAAACAGCGGAATAAACAATGTAAGTTCAATGAGAAAAAAATAGTTTGGAAGAATTAAGCATGATTTATTGATATAGAAAAATAATGTAATTGATGATTAGACTACGATGACCCATCATAGTAGAACAGAACAGTGATAATATATAAGAAAAGACTCCCTGGAGTCTAGATGATGGTGTTGGTGGTGAAGCTGACGACTGAGGCCTGGATGAGGCCTGTGTTCCCTCTGTCTGTCCGTGGTGTTATTGTGTCTGCTCATGAGTCTGCCTGTCAAGTTCAGTGTCCTGTCTGGTTCTCTGTGTCTGTTAGTTTCCTGTTTTATTCTGAAAGTTCTTGTCTCATGTCAGTGTGTTCAGTTTTACCTCTCCCCTGTCTCGTTAGCCTAATTGCTCCCAGCTGTGTCTCCCTCCTGTGGCCCATTCCCTGATTACTCCCCGTGTATTTAAGCCCTGTGTTTT